AAAAAAAAAAAAAAAAAAAAAAAAAAGTTCTTGGTGCTCAGCTGTTTTGGATAGATGAGTCCAAGTGGATAAGATGTGATCAAATCAATTGGTCTGTTTTCATCTTTCTACACAAGCCTCACATATACATCGCATTTAAATTGACTCTCTCAGAACCTTTTAGCAGTCACTCAGCAGTGCCTGGGGTAGCCTGAGCTCACTCAGGGTGCAAACCCCGTCCCCCAACTGGGCGCCAACTGCAAGCCCTCAAACATTCAACAAACCACTGTGTCACCTGACCAGTGTTAAAGGGCTCTCTGTGGCCCAGATACAAGGGGGACCCCCCAAAAAACCAGAGTTATCTTTTAGAGGCAGGCCACTTGTAATATAGGCTTCCCCCATTAGGTAAGTGTTCTAGGAAACCATAGGCATCAGTGTACCGGGTAGTGTTGTGAGGGGCTGCGTTTGGCTTCAGTGAATTTGTTATTTGAGATTCTTTCAATGTGTTTGCCCATTTCATGATGGTTGATTTATGAGTGCAGCTGCCCACACAGCGTTGAGCGTCCAGCAGATTTTGACACAAAATGGCATGACACCTGTGCCCCACCCTCTCTATTCACCCATCTCGCCTGGAGCAACTTTTTTTGTTTGTTTCCCTGAATGCAAACACCATAAAAAGGAAACATTTGCCAATGTGTAAGAAATGAAACAAAAAACGGCAAAAACACTACAAGGCAGCAAAATGGATGAGTTCAAAAATTGCTTTTGAGTAGTGGGAAAATACATCTTGATGGGTGTATCAAACGGAGAGTCCTTTGAAGATGACTGAAGTTTAAACATGTAAGAATAAATACACAATTTTTTAGAAATAAATTCCAGGTTTTTTTGGATCCCTCCGTATAACAACGGAGCCAGGTAAACATCAACCATTTGACCAATAAATTTGTTAAGACGAGTGCATTCCGCGGGCTGCCCCAGCTTCTGAAACAAACCGCTTCCCCCTTATGTTTCCTGATGTTTTGCAGTCCTGTGTACGTGGCAAGCCCAACGCTGCCCTGGGACGCGTGCTGTGTCTTGTTCTTTGTCACCATAGTGCAGTCTACAAAGCCTGTCACATAGAAGATACTTTTCCTAAATGGATGACAGTGATTTACAGGCTCTAATGACTTCTATTTGCCAGAGTTGAGTTTAGCTTTTAATTCTTCCTTACCCTCTACATGGGACCTGAAGGTTCCAGAGAGTAGGGACATTTTTAATAAAGACCTCTAAACTAACTGATGTCATCAAGGAAACCTAAGGGGGAAATGGTCTACAATAACCCCAAGTGCATCGTTCCACCAGCTCACATCCACTCTATTACTACAAGCTTGGGGTCCCTTAGCAGAGACTTAACCCAAAATGATCTAGGCAAAAGTCTAATTCCCTAACAATCTTGATCACCAGACGAAAGCAGCATAATCATCCCAAAAGGGCCAAGGGTTTCTGTGGTGCCATATTTTCTACTTTCCTATGCAACACTGCTGAACCAACACGTCACATAGAATTCCAGCCTTTGTCCCAACCATGTGGCATCAGCATCTCTCCCCCCCACCGTAAGTTACACATGACCTTAATAAGTTCAGAAGCACAGCAATAAACCACTTAGAATATAAGTCTCAGCCTTTGGGAGCTGACATGAAAGGGGGGCATTAAGCATCTATTGTTTACTACTCTTAGGCCAGCTAAATGAAAAGATTGTATTTCTTTTTAGAAATCAAAGCTGTCATTTACCAACTAAGAGGATTTAAAAAAGCACTTGGGGGGGGCAGTATTTGCATAACATGCTATAAATATTAAAAACCCAATTCCAGTAAGCTTTGAGTTGCAAATTCTTTTTTTTTTTTTTTGAGTTGGAGTCTCACTCTGTCACCCAGACTGGAGTGCAGTGGCCACTCCCGGCCACAGCAGCCTCGACCTGCTGGGCTCCAGTGATCCTTCCACCTCAGCCTTCCAAGTAGCTGGAACTACAGGTGCACGCTATCACACCCGGCTAATTTTTTGATTTATTGTAGAGATGAGGTCTTGCCAAGTTGCCCAGGTGGGTTTCGAACCCACGGTCTCAGGTAATCCACTCACCTCAGCCTCCCAAGGCAAGGGATTACAGGTTAAACCACCGAGCCCGGCTGAGTTGCAAATTCTTTATAAACTGAGGTCAAACTCACCTTAAACTAAGACCCAAATCAGGACAGTCTGGTTCCTTTCTTGCTCCATCTCTTCCCTCCACTATGTCCTCAGAGCCTTTAGGGGCCTTTTATCGCAGAAAAATCTTTTCCTGCCCTATTATCTTACCTTTAGAAACCTCCTCTAATCCCCCCAAATAGGCAACCTCCTTAAACCTCCTTAACGAGGATGAGCCTAGAGCCTAAGTGTGATCACTAGGAAGCTGCTGATAAACCACCAGAGGAAAGGCCTCTGCAGTGCAGAATGTTAAACAAAATCTTCTGCTAATGCTCTGAAGAAGAAACATAAGCAAGACAGGAGAGAGCATCCTCTTCAAGGCCTAATTATGAAAGACAATCAGCTGCTAATATAAGATCTTCTGTTTTTCTTTTTTATTTGGAGTCTCACTCTGTCACCCAGGTTGGAGTGCTGTGGCACAATCACAGCTCAACTGTAGCCTCATTCGACCTCCTGGGCTCAGGCAATCCCTCCTCCTTGGCCTCCCAAGTGACTGGGACTACAGGCATGCATCACCCTGCCTGACTCATTTTTTAAATTTTTTTGTAGAGATGAGGTCTCATTATATTGCCTAGGACGGTTTCAAACTCCTGGGCTCAAGCGTCCTCCTGCCTTGGCCTCCCCAAGTGCTGGGATTACAGGTGTGTGTCATCATGCCTGGCCATAAATTCTTTTGTCTTATAGATGAACATCACTATTTATTTACTTGCTCTATAAAGAATTTCATGTAGCTACAAATCTACATAGAAATACTAACAGAAACAGTAAATAAGGTTCTATCTCACTGTCATATCATACACAACAATAACACTTAAGGATATTAAAGCATAAGGATGCAATTTCACACTGAAGGTGGACCACAATGACTAAAACAATCTGGAGAAGGCTCAGTTCCCACAAACAAGCAATTATCCTTGACAAGATAAGAACCGTAATGCACTCAGTCCAAGTTCAAGAATGGGGCCCCTACTAGGGGGCTTGATTTCATTGCTATCATGTCCAGTCTAGTCCAACCTCTGAAATGACTCTTTTTTCACCCATCTTCTCACGCTTCTCTAGTCCTTCCTGG